TTGAAAAACTGCTACAGTAAATTAATAAATCGAAGTCATTCCAATCTTTTATTAACAATTTATTATTTAAAAAAATTAAACTATTAAGTCATTATTAATAAATTTGTTGTTATGGATCGTTTACTCCACAACAGCATCTACATAATCATAAGAACTTCTTATTACAGGATAAATGCGACTGTATATTGACATCTCGAAAACGTATGTTAAATTTTATAATTGTAATTGGCCTACACAGGGTGCCTGGTAAGTATATGACATACTCTCGGAAATGTATAGGGCAGGTCAAAATAACCCTAGTTTGTAATAAAAAAAAATCCTTAAAGGAGATACAGAACCCCAAAGGGGTACCAAGCTATTTACCTTTTCGGCTGTAACTTTTGAACCGATATGTATAATTTAATGAAATTTTAATATTTTATGTAGGCCGTAAAGGCTCACAAAACCATGCTCAGTAGATGTTTTACACTATCAGGTAAGTCAGGAACGGACTTGCCACCAAGAATTATTTATCATTATTATTAACACTTTTCACATGGATATATACATTTAAAGATTACAGTGCTATAGGGCTTAATGACTCTATCTCTGAAAGTAAAATAAATTTGGCTGTGAGAGTGTACCGTACAGGTAATGTATTAAAATTAAAAACATTTAATTGCCTAGTAACTACTACCAAATAGTTATGGCAAATTTTTATGACCCATTAAACCTTAATATCACTGTAGTTATAAGAGGTATTATATTCAAGACCGTAATAATATACAGTGTTTTAAATTACAAACAATAATATAACAGTCATACGATAATCATTCGTTTAATAGGGAAAAATGAGTAGAATACGAATACGCGACAAAAAAAATTAAAATGCATATTTTTTAATAGTGAATGCCGAAAATATACCCTTTTACCTAAACACATGAATGAATGAGATATATTTTTACATTTTAAATATTAACAAGTATCATTTATTTATTTGTTAATAAAATCAAGTGTATAATGATAATAATTGTTTTCGAATGCTAGGATATTTAGTATTTTTAATACTCTTAACGTATTCAATATGTTTTATAATTAAATATGAGTTTTTAGTATTATGTTCAATTAATTCGTATACCTAGTGACTTAAAGCTCTTTAAAGAGTAGTATGGTACGTACCTATTTAAAATAAAATTAGGATCCGCTGCACTTTGATTTTGAAACCAATTGTAAAATTCAAGACGACTGGGGAAATCAGCTGTTTCGCTTCAACGTTCGAACGCTTTGTAGTCCGCCAGCCTGTGCGTTCTCCGTTGTGAAGTAGGGCGCCGAGTTAACGGGAGTTAAGAAGTAATTTGCATACTTTTTAAAAGAACGAGTAATATTTTTTCGATTTTTTTTCAAATGGCAATATAGTTCTTTTTTAATTATTATTGTGCAGATTTATTTTCTGAATCCAACGGTGTATATGAACTTGACTTTTGTAAAGNAGTAGAATACGAATACGCGACAAAAAATATTAAAATGCATATTTTTTAATAGTGAATGTCGAAAATATACCCTTTTACCTAGACATATGAATGAATGAGATATATTTTTACATTTTAAATATTAACAAGTATCATTTATTTATTTGTTAATAAAAACAAATGTATAATGATAATAATTGTTTTCGAATGCTAGGTTATTTAGTATTTTTAATACTCTTAACGTATTCAATATGTTTTAAAATTAAATATGAGTTTTTAGTATTGTGTTCAATTAATTCGTGTACCTAGTGACTTAAAGCTCTTTAAAGAGTAGTATGGTACGTACCTATTTAAAATAAAATTAAGATCCGCTGCACTTTGATTTTGAAACCAATTGTGCGACCTCAGCAGGGCATTCGACTGTGTTAATCACGACAAGTTGTTGTGTAAACTTGAAATGTGCGGTGTGCGCGGAGTGGCCCATAAGTGGATTGCTTCTTTTTTAACTCACCGAAAGCAGTATGTTCATTTAAACTTTATGAATGATTTAGGAACCAATAACATTAAGTCGGAATACGGAGAAGTAAACGTGGGGGTTCCACAAGGCTCTGTGTTGGGTCCTATCCTATTTCTACTATATACAAATGAACTCGATACTTTGATGTCCAACGTTTTCCTCGTTATGTATGCGGATGATACGTCTATGCTCATTTCAGATGCCAACGATAAATTATTGGAATCCAAATGTAGTGCTGCATTAAATGCCGTGGAAAATTGGTGCGTCACTAACACTCTAAAACTCAACTGTCATAAAACACAGTTATTAAGATTCCACAATAGGCAAAGAAACTGTTCAGGGCTCAAAATAAAAACGAACAACAGCAGCGACTATATAAATTTTAATACAGACGTAAAGTTCTTGGGAATAACTTTAGATGAATGTCTAACGTGGCATAAANTTTATTATTATTATTAACACTTTTCACATGGATATATACATTTAAAGATTACAGTGCTATAGGGCTTAATGACTCTATCTCTGAAAGTAAAATAAATTTGGCTGTGAGAGTGTACCGTACGGGTAATGTATTAAAATTAAAAACATTTAATTGCCTAGCAACTACTACCAAATAGTTATGGCAAATTTTTATGACCCATTAAACCTTAATATCACTGTAGTTATAAGAGGTATTATATTCAAGACCGTAATAATATACAGTGTTTTAAATTACAAACAATAATATAACAGTCATACGATAATCATTCGTTTAATAGGGAAAAATGAGTAGAATACGAATACGCGACAAAAAAAATTAAAATGCATATTTTTTAATAGTGAATGCCGAAAATATACCCTTTTACCTAAACACATGAATGAATGAGATATATTTTTACATTTTAAATATTAACAAGTATCATTTATTTATTTGTTAATAAAATCAAGTGTATAATGATAATAATTGTTTTCGAATGCTAGGATATTTAGTATTTTTAATACTCTTAACGTATTCAATATGTTTTATAATTAAATATGAGTTTTTAGTATTATGTTCAATTAATTCGTATACCTAGTGACTTAAAGCTCTTTAAAGAGTAGTATGGTACGTACCTATTTAAAATAAAATTAGGATCCGCTGCACTTTGATTTTGAAACCAATTGTAAAATTCAAGACGACTGGGGAAATCAGCTGTTTCGCTTCAACGTTCGAACGCTTTGTAGTCCGCCAGCCTGTGCGTTCTCTTTTGTGAAGTAGGGCGCCGAGTTAACGGGAATTAAGAAGTAATTTGCATACTTTTTAAAAGAACGAGTAATTTTTTTTCGATTTTTTTTTTTTCAAATGGCAATATAGTTTTTTTGTTATTTATTATTGTGCAGATTTATTTTCTGAATCCAACGGTGTATATGAACTTGACTTTTGTAAAGCATTTATTACAGAAAAGACGACAAAATATTAGCCGATACCGAATTCGGCGCAAGGTCACTAATTCATGACAAATTTATTTTAACTAATCATCTGTGCCATGGAAAAAATAATACAGCAAAGCAAATAAAACTCAAAACAGAATTTTGTAGATAACGGAAAAAACAATACAATGAATATCAATTATAAAAAAAACTAAGAGCAACAAACACAAAACAACTAATGAAACAAATTGTAGCCGTAGTTCTCTATCGTTTTCCTCTAATGCCTGTACTTTTTGAGGAATGTATGGCTTGGATTTATGGTTTTTCAGTATTTCATTGTACAGTTCTCTTTGATGCTCTAATATTATCAGAAATTTCCCGAATAGAAGTTCTTGGGTTTTCTTCAACGTTAAGAAGAACATTGAACTCGATGTTTTCATTAAATTGGCGTTCTTCTCGCTTTGTTTTCTTAAAAGCACCATAGTTTCTCAAATTTTCTTCAAGTGTTACAAATCTACGTGGTTCTGGAACTTCTCTGTCTGGAAATAGTTCTCTGTAAAGGTGGACTCCTACACCACGATTTTAATTACAACGAAAGTATACCTGAATCATGTCCGTCAATTGATTTACTTATATTTTGTACTGTTGAGCTTATTTCAATAAATAACCTACTGTAAATGACATAGGAGTATAATGCGTAAAAATCTGGGACATGAACGTTAAAATGACATTTATTTGCTTTGTTGTATTATTTTTTGTTTTCCAGGCATACATGATTAGTCAAAATATGTTTGTTGTCAATTAAACGACCGGGCGCTAATAATGCGGTATTAACTAATATTTTCATGCTTTTTCTGTAATATATGTTTCACAAAAGTAAACTTTATATACATCGTTGAATTCAGAATAGAAATCTGCACAATAATAAATAAAAAGAACCTATATTGCAATTTGAAAAATAAAGTTGACTATCGCTTTTCAAACAATAAAAATAATAAATACCCTCCAATTGACATATAAATTTCCCAACTAGTGATGCTCAAATTCAGACGCCACTAAATATTCTAGGCGTTGATTAAATTCACTTGATTCCTGTTTTTATATCTAGAAAAGAGGTTCCTACCTTGTTCCAAAAAACACGATTTATTTTTATTTTTATTTCAACAATCTTAATACACAGATGTGTATAAACACCGCATGTTAAAAGCTATTGGTTTTACAAAATACAATTTTAGGCAAAAAAATTCTACCCGTATTGATTTTATGAAATGAATAGTTTTCTAAAGTCTTACTTTACTTCAAAGATATTAAGCTAAATCAAATTAATCAGGTATAAACAATTTTCCAAAGATCGTACGCCATACATGTCTTTTTGGACCAATTTCTTGACGTTATACACTCTGTACAGCAACAATCGTTTTTGGACTCATTATCGCACTTATCATGCGTTAATTTCCAGAGGCATATCCTTTACTGCCAACATGATGCATTGAATTAATTCATTGGGTCAAGGTTTCAGTTATATAACTATTTTGGAACAAATGAAACTGAAAAAACGACCTCTGCATCCATTAAAGCTGCCGTGATTAGAACGAGTTACCGGGCAATTATTATTCGCTAAATATAAAAAGGTGGTCGGGAGCTTCAAATTTATTGTATGTTTTAATATTCAAGTGCCAACATCAAGAAAAGGAAACACTATGAAGACCTCAGTTGCAATAATTGTCACATGTGTGATTTTTTCAACTGCCAAGGTGAGAATATGTTTATTTCATTGTAAATTTATTTACTGTATAGTTGTTAAAAGAATAGAAAACAATTCAAATTATTTTGATATGCCTAATCTAAATCTAAAATCTATATAATACAATATTTGCTTTTCAGGATGTTTTGGAAAAAGAATACCATATAAACCGTGTTCTAAAATGTCACATTTTTTAAAAATATAGGGTTTTTAAAAAAAAATCCGGCATATTCGATGTGGTAACTAACAATTTTATCTTTTTATCTCTTTATTATATTCGTGATTTGACAGAAACTACTAATCGAATTAAATAAAATAGACCCCTGAGTTTGAACAATTTGAAATTTCAACAATATATAGCCTCACTATTAGGTACTCTATTGTGTGCTAAAATTTCAGTTAGTTCCGTTAACCCATTTTTTAGTTATTCATGAAGATGTTGAAAAAATCACGGTTTTCTACCTACAAAATTCATACCTCTCACTTTAACTCGTCGTAATTTTTTTGTTAATTGATAAAAAAATTCCAAATATTTACTAACGATCGAATTCGATTCGAAGTCGAACTATTATCTTTAGTACTGTGAAGGTCATTTGCCTCAAAAGCTTTTCCTTTTTTCATTTTTAAGCAAAACAGAAGGGAATGCTATCTCCGTAAATATGTGTTCTTTAAAAAAAGAGAAAAAACTGACACAGTATTTCGATAGTAGAATTTCATCAAAGCAGTGCATAATCAAAACTAGAGAAGCTGGTGGCGTGTTTTTTTGCAAAATAATAATCTCTACATACTATACGCCTTGCAGAGATTATTATTTTGGAAACATACACGCCATTAACATTTTTAGTTTTTAGTAAGTATGTTCTATACAAACCAATTGTAATAAATTTTTTAAAGATATTTCGTAATTGACTTTAGGCCATATAATTATTAGATAGACATAAAGATTTAAAAGTAATTTCATTCGTGCATCATTTTTCTCATTAAATATTTTCTTAACAAAGAATAATAAAATATTTTTCTTTTAACAACTGCTTAACTGAAAAAAAAAATGAATAAATAATTGACGAAAAATCGACAATGTTTTGTATTTTCATTTTGTAATAATAAATACGAATTGGGGAAGTAATTTCTTCAATAATTTTAATCTCTGTTACTAATGCAGCATAATTAATATTTATTATCATGACATATGTAACATAACATTGTTGTAAATGTAAGAGCTACCTGTGAATCTAAATCCAAAATAAACTATTCCTGTAATGACCATTTAAATTTAACATAATCGAATCAAAATGAATAGCAAATTTATGTACCTAGTAAACAAAGTACCCAGTTGTTTGGATAATATGTATTTCCATACACAAATGTTTTCATTCAATTTTAACAGAATTATATATAAACATTAATTTACCATAGAGGAACTACATATTTGTTTATACTAATGTGGATATGTGTTTAGAAAGCAAATTGTTTGATATGCGGCGAACCAATGTTTTGTTATTACGTCCAATATTCCAAAATAATATTATAAAATGATATAATTAAAAAAATGGTGTTAAATCTTTAAAAAGAATTCCAAAACTGCTGCTAACATATCAATCATTCAGATTTACATGAGCTGAGTTATAAAATGTTTAAAATCCGATAAATTTTTTTATTGTACAAATATTTCAAAACTGATCTGTTTGATAGAGGACGACAGTTACAACTTGGTGGGTCACCAAGTTTTGTTTTTATATTTCTTATAATAATACTCGTTCAATAAACATCTCCCGCAAATTATTTCGATCAGAATATTCATACCATTTTAGATACATTTAAAATAAAACGACCTTTTTATACCAAAAATTAACTTCAGATGAACTTGGTTTTTGCACATCCATCGGGAGTATCCACCAGTGGAAGCTGTGAGAAAAAGAATCATTAATAATATTTATTTCAGAGAAAGTATATAGTCCAAATGAAATGGCGTCAAACAAACAAAACATTAAAAAATAGTCTCCAAACAGTTTGGTCCTAAATCGATTGACTTTTGTTTTAATAGTACCTTGAGTTTACTTAATATTTTTATCTTTTTAATACCATCCAACAATTTATTGTATAATTTGATACATACACATATAATGTGGGTTGTTCTCCGTCACTATCATATAGGCCAGGAAAATAAGGTTGGAAATGACCATTTCGTGACTTTTTGTTTCGGCAAGCTGAATTTATCACCATAGATGCTAAATATTATGTACAATAACATATTATACATAACATTAGTTTCCACAGTCATAAAAATGGAAGGAAGATTGTTTACAGGGTGGTTAATTGTATAATTTTTACCTAAATTCACGTTTTTGGCTTATAACTTTTTTCCGTTCATTTCCACGAGAAAACAGTAAAGTACTTTTTTTTTCGTCTTCAAAAGACCTATACAAAACTAGCCCTCGGGCGTCAAAAAATTTTGATTAGATCAAAATTTATAAACAGAAGAAGTTTATTTATGACTTTTGAATTAAACATTTATAAACTGCGTTAATATTACCAGAGCGTTTTGACATCGCACCCTCTCATTCCTTATCACTATCTAATAACTCACACGAAATCTGGAATCGGTAAGTTGAATAGTTTACAAACTATGGCCTTATAAACAAATTAACTAATTATTAGTCTGGACGATCTCGAGGATCTTCCACAATCGCATTGATTTTTTTCATGGTAGATTTCATAATAATACATTGAAATATATATATTTTTTTTAATTTCAAATTTGCAACATGGAAATTTTTTTTATTTTTTAGGCTTAGTTGCAAAATGAAATATACGACGCACGAGCGTGATATAGTTATATATTATTACATATTTGGAAAGCTTATGAAAAGAGCTTTAAGTTAAAAAAAAATCGTCAAGATTCGTTAAAAAAAAACAACGGAATTACAGACTGTCAAAGATGACGGCCTATTGTTAAACAAATTAGGTTGGTAGTGGCAAAAAAAATACTGTTATAACCGGCAACCCAAGTTCTTTCCCAGGTAAAAATATTTTATTTGTGGAAGTATGTTAAGTGCGTAAGAAATATTGTCAAAAGTCAGTGGGTCGCTTGATTTTCCGGCGAGCCGTGGCGTGGCGGAAGCGTGGGGGAAGCGAACGACAGCGACTCCGAAGAAAATGACGACAATATTCATAGCCCTGCCGTTAAATAAGCGAAATTCGCTTGAAAATAATATATTTGACAGTCTGTAACTCTGTTGTTTTTCAATGAATCTTGACGATTTTTTTTTAACTTAAGCTCTTTTCATAAGCTTTCCGAATATGTAATAATATATAATATATCACGCTCATGCGTCGTATATTTCATTTTGCAACTAAGGCTAAAAAATAAATTCCAGGTTGCACATTTGAAATTAAAAAAAAAGATAGATTTCAATGTATTATTATGAAATCTACCATGAAAAAAATCAGTGCGAATGTGGAAGATCCTCGGGATCGTCCAGACTAATAATTAGTTAATTTCTGTATAAGGCCATAACTTGTAAACTATTCAACTTACCGATTCCAGAGCTCGCGTTTTTTATTAGACAGTGATAAGGAATGAGAGGATGCGACGCTCGAGGGCTAGTTTTGTACGTCTTTTGAAGACGTGGAAATGAACGGAAAAAAGTTATAAGCGAAAAACGTGAATTTACCTAAAAATTATACAATTATCCACCCTGTAAACAATCTTCCCCACATTTTTATGACTGTGGAAACTAATATGTTATTGTACATAATATTTAGCATCTATAGTGATAAATTCAGCTTGCCGAAACAAAAAGTCGCGTCCAACTCTATATTTTCTGGCCTACATAGGTACACATAAGAGAACGAATATTTAATACATAGGGCTTTTTAGGAAGATTTGAAATAAGATTAATTACAAATTAATATTTCCTATATGTATAGAAGAATTCGAAATTTCATTTTCAACTCAAAAGGTTGTAAAAAGTGTTTGTTCCTGAAATGGAAAACATATTTTTTACTGGATCAATTTCATATGATTTTAATTGTTGTTAATGTATATTTTATCCTTAGCGATATCTAAATAAAACGCCCTCTATAAAACTTTAATAATTTTTTCTAATTCCGAGAGACAAGTTAATTAAGATGTTTTAAATAAATTAATTATAGGCTACACTCGACATCACCAGTGAGCAAAAGGCCAAACTCGACGAGTATAAAGACGAATGTAAGAAACAATCGGGAGTAAACGTCGAAATTTTGAAAAAGTTACCAGAGGGTGAGTTCCCCGAAGATCCAAAATTGAAAGAGTTCCTATTCTGTGTCTCCAAGAAAACTGGTTTCCAAAATGACGCCGGCGAAATCCAACAGGCAGTTATCATCGAGAAACTCGGAAAGGCTTTGAAGGACCCTGCCAAGGCGAAGGAGTTGACGGAAAAATGTACCAATCAAGAAGGGTCGCCGTCTGAAATTACATACAAATTCGTCATCTGCTTTTATAACCACAGTTCGAAACACGTTGTTATTGTTTAGTGAAAATATATTTTTATTGTTAAAAATTTGTCAATGAAATCGAATATTGGCTTTATCGCCATATGAAGGTATTCGTACATAGTCATAAAAAAAATCTGTGTAATTAGTATATAATATATGTTGAATTCATACTGCTGCGTTTAATTTTAATAACATATACAATATTTGTTATGACCACCTGAAAGCAGGACATTCCTTTTAGATGTTGAGTGTTATGGTGTTGGGTACAAATGTCTGCATATGACCCATTTAAGTATCACGTCGGGGTCACCACTTGAGGGTTGCTTTTGGTGTGCAGCACAAAATGAAACTAACTCTCAACGGTAAATAAAAGATATGTTGTCGGGACTCGCCAACGAACGCTTGCAGCGACGCGACATTTCTTTTTACTGCACTTGTGTTTTCCATAAAAGATACCTTTTATTTATCGTTGAGAGAGAGTTTCAATTTGCTGCATAGTGTACTTTTCTATTAAATCGAGCCCAGGAAGACATATATTTGGAAAATACAACTTTCTTGCATCCCAGCTTGCTAATAACATTACATAACATTTTTATATTTCAATTTGCACTTTAACACATTGATATTGATTAAACAATTAAAAAAAGTAATTGTGGCTTAAGCTTTCCTGTGATGACATTTAAAGTATCGTGATTTTTCGGGTTGTTATGGCCGCTACTAACTATAGACTTACATTGTACGTCCTTAGTTGTAGCTAGGAACCTTTCCCCTACAAATGTAGCTCTCGGAAATAAGCTATCCATTAGAGAGGCCAATACGGAACTTCTCACAGAACCACTGCCTGAGGAGCGGTTCAAATAGATTTAATAGGGGGTCCGCCCCCACATATCCTAGCCCGAGAACAACAAGGGTATGTCAAAAATGTATAGCTAACACTTAAGAAGTGCATTGTAAGTAATTGGCTGCGAAAAACCACCTACCTTAACTAAACATTGTGCATTTCACTGCAACCCACACATTTATAAAAAAAAGTGGATTATAATTATGAAATTCAGTATATTGTATATTAAAAAATATATACCCTTTTTTTCCAATATAGAAATGTTAATAAAATTGAAGGCAATGTAAGTAAGTATAAATATAACACAGGTCTGCAGAAAAAGTGGTTGTATTTTTGTTCTAGAGCAGCTGAGGGTAATTTCCGAAGTAATTTTTTGCGTAGAATCCGAATACGACCTCAGAATTGCTTCACCACGTTACGCTTCCGAGATATCCAAACCTATAAGTGCGAAAAAACCGTTTTTTGCTATATTTGACTTTATACACGGCGAATTTCTTTTTTCTGAAATCGAGTCATGTCCTCTAAAAGTAGAACTCTTACCCTTCAAAATTCCGCTTTCAAATTTGAAAAACATAACGAATGATATAATGTTTTTTGGATCGCCAATTACAAGTCCAATCTCAAAATTATTCAAGTACTCAAGGGTTCTGAAATTTCCAAACCTAAAAGTGTAAAATTTACGGTTTACGTCTGAACTGTCGGCATGAGGAAATTCACAAGAAGCAGTGTCGTGAAAACGGATGAGAAACTGCTCGCTGGTGAATTAAAATTATTTTTCAAGTTCTATTTTTAAATAACATGACTCGTTTTCAGAAAAACATTTTTTCGAATAAGGTTAAATATAGCAAGAAAACGCTTTTAGGTGAGAATATCTCGGAAGCCTGACGTAAAGGAGCAATTCGGTATCTACGCAAAAAATTACTTCGGAAATGACCTTTGCTGCCATAGAACAAAACCTTTCATAACTGTGTAATCAATACCTGTGGATAATAAAAATCGAGATGACAGATAAAGGAATCAAAATTTAATAGACGTTTGATCTGATAATTTTTAATAGAACTTTTAGTTAACGTCCTGCACATTTTTTACTTCCAATTAACAAAGGCATTCTTCAAAGCATTTGACCATAAAATTTGTTTTAACCGAATGCATAAAAATTATGAATATTCAAACATTTTTGGTTTATAAATATTTATATATGTACCTACAATTATGCAAATGAAACAGTGGATACTTGCAAGGTAAAGCTTATCTTTCCGTTTATAAAAAGATCCTTATTTTAATGTGAATATCGGATACAATTATAAAGAAGAATTCGAACAAAACATTGCGGGTATACATATTTTTCTTACTTCAAGACTAATTAGTATGTCCAGTTATAAATTTGCTTCCTAAGAGTAGGTACTTTTTAATGCAACATTTTCTAAGATATCTCAATGAAAACGAATAAAAACGTAATGTTACTTGTTGTTAGATATTTTGAGAAAACGGATATATTTTATGACACCTCACTTTGTTTACAGTAAAAAAGTATGATTGTAGCATATTGTTAAAATTTATAATTATAGAGAAAATTGATTACAGTCTTTTTCTGCTATTCGACTTCCAGGTACCCTGTGAATTAATTCAGATACTTTTATAACGTAACTTCTTAACAATCCAAATCTTTCTAGCTTTCGATCAAATCACATTTTAAGGAAACAATCATTAAAGGAATACTTGTTGATTGTAAAATTAGCAATCCTTTTCCTCTCCAAGTTTCAGAGTTAAACAGCTTTTCAGTCGTGTATTAGAAACACAGCTCTTTAGAAAGTACAAAGAATATACTGTTATACGTTTATTAATTCACAATTAAGCTGTCCACACACTAAAACGGTTGTCATTTATAATAACGGATATTTCATTAATAGATTTTATTTTGAAAGAATAAGAGATCAAGAAATATTACTTTTTAGATAGAGATATTTTTATTCTAACCCAAAGCCCAGACTATGCGGTTAAAGACGGAAGACATTACTTTCCTAATTGCCACCTCTGCTTTTGACAAATTATAATTCTTTTTAGGAAATTTTCGATAACTTTTTACATAATTGCGGACTTACATATTTCGCCAACTCAAATGTCCGTGTCCAGAATCGACACGTCTAGGAAACAGCTCACGCAAAAGGCTATCCTTTCACGGCTGGTATGGCCTTGTGGATGGAGAAGCAGTTTGACAGTCCCCAGATGCGACTATTTCGCTTATAGACGTAACCTTGAACGTGGAAATTCTAACATCCTCTCAGCGAACGTACTTCGTTGTGCATGATCCGTCAAGTCTTGCCTTAGTTACACCTCGTAAGGATACAAGCGTAGATCTTTGTGCAAAATGCCGTGCATGCCGGTTTGTGACAATAGACAGACCAGAATTTTTCGTGGTACTTGCAGACACAACACTAATGTTCTCGTTTGATCCGACTGACCGGGAACGAGTTGGGTTCTTAACATCAGTAGTCGGCCTTATTCGTTCAAATTAGCCAGTAAATTCACAATTGCTATACAAGAAGACGCTATCTCTGCGACCAAACCTAGTACGAATTTTTCGAAATTTCGACCATACTTTTAGTGAACCTTTATTATTCTAAGCGTTGCTCAAAGGAATCTCGATCCCTCTTTATTAATCGTTTTGTTTATAACTAACCGCTACCAACTGTCACAAGTAAGTAATGGTATGCAATTTAAAATGAAACCTCTTAATGGAAGACCCTTTACATATCTATAAATCATGAAAACGTAGAACTGTCATATGAAGGAACGCTTGTATTTTCTCTCAAGCTACTTTTACAAAAGGATGGTGTTAGGAATTATATTTGACACTGCAGAAATAAAAAGTCACTTAATTGAGAATTATTACTACAAAGTACTTTTATTAATGAATGAACAAAACTGATATGTACTACGCAAGATATAGGCACAAAAAAAGCATTTCTGCAAACTTTTGCAATATTCAATCAAAAAGTTACTGGTAAGAACATCCCGAATATAGTGCACGTTTGCAAAAAAGACGGTCACGTTAAAATAACACGGACTGTCAAAGACAATAATTTACACTGACGTCAGTGCTAAAACTTTAAAGTAAGGGAATTGCAATGAGAAGATTTAACGCGTCTTCGTTTATCTGTGTTTATTGAGGGTTTGAATCTTGTTGGTTTGTACATGGGTAATACCGATTATTGTGGCAAAACCCTTTATTGCCGCTTTGATAGTTGCGGTTACGTTAATGCGACGATTAAATGCTACTTAGATCGAGATATCCTAATCAAATTTGCAAATTTCAATTCGTTGTAATAAATTGGTCACATTATTTTGTATTCTAGATATCTATACTGGAATCGGTTTGATTCATCAAATATTCATGTGCCAATTCACGAACGTTCAACTGGTTTAATAGAGTGATACATTTTTTTATATCTCGTAGATAATGTGTACGGCTAGCTTTGAACAGAACTTACTAAGATCATTGCACTGTCCTAAGTTCATGAATATAAAAAATCATTCCAATAAGTTAATTATCATCACGAATCAATAAAAACCCATTGCTGTAGGTAACAAATAATTAATTATTCTATCTAAAACCTATTTCTAGTAGGGTTCATAGACCAGTTAATGAGTGTCTCCAGAACGATCCTTGAATATTAGTTATATTGCCTTAGGCGCAATTGTTCATTAGGATTAAGTACATATATGAAATTATAACCCTGTGTTTTCATTCAGTAAATGGATTTGGAAGTGAATACTGTTATTATACATTTTTTAAAGTTGAATGTATTTGAGTAGTCTTTATAATTCAGAAAATAGAGTTTCTGTTTAATATAGTTTTTTATACAAATTAAACTGTATTTTTTAAATAAGGACCGTAAATGCTAAAAATACTTCTTCAAAATACTCGCGATGATGGCGGAAATCTATCCGAAGCGGCACATCAGTGAATTTAGAAAAAAAAAATGTATGTATCGTTGCCATTTTGAAAATGATGACGTTGGTAACGATTACAAACGAAACGACAAGAAACAAAATTGACACTTGCATGAGAAAGTACATAGAAATATTTCCTATATCAGTATTTCTCTTATTTTTAGTTGTGATAATATACCAAAGAATAAAAGAGAGGATCAAGAAATTCGGATTTTTCGAAATATCCTAACCTTAAAAAATAGGTATAATACTTGTTTTCGTCGTTACATGATCCGATAATAATGTATAGATCAAAGTGAGGATAGATTTGCACAAACACTTTTTGTATCAACATGATTTGACAGTACCATGTGCGTAATAAAAGTGACTTGTATT